TAGACATGTGCACTGCCAAAAAATTTGTTTAGTTTCGTTTCGTTTTAAATTCGGATTTGTGTTATTTCGTTTTTCGGGATTCGGGTGTGAAAGTCAATTCGGATTCGGAATTCGGTTTCGGACGAAATTCGGTAGCGGTAGTTCGAACGTTCGTTTCGTTTTCTGTTCTTATTCGTTTCTTATTCGTTTCGTTCGTTTGCAGCAAAGTGACATTTGAGGGGGAAAAATATTTTTCTCCTTCTCTAATGTCACTTTGCTCCAACGAACGAAACGAATAAGAACCGAAAACGAAACGAACGTTCGAACTACTGCTACCGAATTTCGGAAATGGAAATTCGGATTCGTTTGCCATCACTATGTCTGTAATTCGGAAACATCCGAATTTCATAATTTTCCGAAAATTCGTCCGAATTTCGATTCGGAACGAAACGAATTGCACATGTCTACTAGGCAGAGCATGGCAGGGGACAGGAGGCCGAGCAGACCTGATCAGATGCAAATTTCCATCATTTGAATGGATTCCACCCTCTGTGGATTAGTGCCATTTGTTTCTATGGTGCTGGCAGCCGGCTTGCCTGTACCATGGTAAGGCATGATGCTGTGTGAAAATGTCAAGGCACCCTGGAGGAAACAAGAAGCCATCCCATGCTACCAGAGCACCATGGTGCAGAAAGGCTGATCTAATGTGCTAATGTATGGTGCATGCTATATAACTGCAGCATTTCACAGGTCCAATTTTAGTTTTATCATTTTTTGTCATAGTTATGCCTTGTGTGTTTTTCAGATCTGCAAAGTGTTGAGGTTGGCCTGAATGCCGGCCATACAATGATCATTATTTTCATGCAAGCTATACTGTTTTATCTGATCATTTGGATACCCAAACTGGTAAGCAGAAAAATGGGGTAATGTCAATGTAAAAAAACAGCTGACCATTTCAGAATCTGTTGCTCTATAAACCGCACAACTAGCTTAAAAACAATCAGATTTATTTTTCTTTATGTAATTTGCTCGCTTGCATCTGTGATTCAGCTCTATAGACCGGCCCAAAGGAATCCAAATGGCAGGAGAATGATAATTGGAAAATTTTAAATAATGATTTACTTAAACCCTCAGGATGCTTGGAAGGATGAGATGTGGTAAACACGGATGCAGCCATTCTGTGTGAACGGCAGAGCTCATACTTTATTTTTTCTCTCTATTTGTTAGCTGCAAGGATCATTTTACTGAAGATCCCCAATCAATTCCCTGTAGCTGTGCAAGGATTTGGTATAAGGCACCTTTCACACGGGCTTTCCGATCAGGTATTTTGCCCAATATATGCAACTAAAACCTCGGTTTTTAATGCATACGGTTAGACAGTGTCATTTGTTTTGTTGCAGGCTAGTTGGCAAGCGTGCCGGGAAACTTCCGTGTTTTGCATTTCTGATCAGGTACACCTGTCAGTTTTTCAGGCAGAACTAATTGTAAGCCGGATGTTAGTCTGTGGATGTAAACGTGCGTCCATGAACTGTGTGAAAGGGGCCTAAGAAGAATAAAACGTTTCTCTTAAAATTCTAATGGTATTGGCTACTTTATAAACCACAAAGCAAAATGGTTTAGCAGCCAGGATTTTGCCAAGGACAAAAAGATATAGAAAGCCATTCTATTTTCCTTTTATCACATCACACTGTGAATTACACAAAAGAGCCAGAAATACCTATTCATGTAGCAGGTCTAAGCAAAGGTTTTTTCATGTTAACTTGAACTATGAACTGCATTCCAGTCATGAGGCTAATTATTGGTTCTGGATACAAAATGGCTCATTTTAAGGGATAGGTTTTCACCCAAGTGAATAAGTATAGCGCATACGTTTCCCAAGTGCCCTCCCCCGTAAAAGAAATACCACACCACATGTTAGTCCTAGGAAGTATTTATAGACATGAACTTGAAACATCCACAGGCTTGATTTTCTTCTTTAAAATACAAAGATTACGGTACACGACTTCCATCTGTTTCCTGTCTTAAAATATTCTAAAAGCATTTAAAAAAATAAAGTTTTTTAGCACCTTTTAGACAAATGAGGGATATGCATGTTCACTGGTGACTTACTAGCATCAAACGCCCATGTGCATTCCCAGCTGCACAAGGTCTACATTAAATGTGCTAAGGCACTCTAACAACAACATTGCAGCCCTTAATACATACAAACAGCCAACAGGACAGAGGTCTTGGAAGGCAGCACCTTTATTTATATACAGGTAACAATAAAAGATCATTTCACCCATTTCTAAAAACATGGCTCTGGGAGGAATTACAGAGAAAAATGAATACCTATTCTTTAGATCCTATAGGTTCTCCATGAACCTAACAACCCTGAGCAAGTCAATCTGGCTTATGTGCTTGTTCTTTAGGGGTGTCACAGCCCCGCCCCTTAACCTGGCAGTTGGTAGCTTAATGGTCCTAAATATCATCTTTTAAGTACACTAGATGCAATACAGAGACTGGCATTTCTGCCTTCTCATCCAGACCCAGAACAAGCATTACAAAAAGACTTGACTTTAATCTGACTTTCTTGACCCACATTCTTGTTCTTGATCAGTGACTCAAAGTATTGAAATCGGTGGGTCAGCTTAGCAGCCAAGCAACTAGCATTTTCAGAAAGAGGTTCGCAATCTCCTTTTACATGCCTTACATTTATTTTCGGCCAGACTGTAAAGGTTATACACCACAAGCTTGCTCTCTGTACAGGGCTGTTCTAGAATCTATCCATGTCAAAGCTTCTTCTAGCATTGCAGGCTGCATTAAAAGAATTGGTGTGGCTCAGTTTTGTTGCAGCGAGTTGTCTGCAGATTTAATCATGCCGCTACCTTGTGAAGAGCGACCACGATGACAGCTCCATGCTGCAAAAAGTAGGTCATTGAACTGGTTTAGTGCACAAAATAAAGGGCCTGTATTCTCCTGGACCAGTGCTACATTTGCACTAGGAGGGTTTTAGCAAAACTGACCTAAACAAGTTTTCTTAAAATGTTTCTTGAGACCAGAGTCAAATGGCAAGCAGGATTATTGTGGTGCAATGGCTCCTCCTGGTGGTGCAATGTGGTAGTGCAGCAAAAGAGTGTTTCATATCTTAGGGTCAATTAAATAAGCTATAACAAGGATGTGTGTGTGTGTGTATGTATGTATGTAAATATATATATATACACACACATATATACGCAGAACATGTGACCTCTATGACATCTATGGAGCATAAAGGCATACAGGGGACCAGACCTAGCTGGCTACAGAGTGACTTATCCAGATCTATTTACCAGATGCTAAGGCTATGTGCATAACATTAACACAGGGCTTTTGAGGTGGTATCTAGTTGTTGTCAATGGAGTTTGCTCCTAAAAAATCTTGCCGCCTCCTGGACTGGACAGACTGGCATCTGCATTCGATAATAATTTGACCACCCCTGCATTAATGTACCTATGTAAAAATGCTATGAAAGCAATTGGCATTGTGTATCGGTAGATTACATTCCTTTGAGATGCAGGGAGGCCACTTTTACCATGGGGACCCATCAGAGATAGTTACAACTTTGGCTATAACAATTGTTCTTTTTCATTATTACCATTATTATCAGCAAGGGCTGTCTGAACCAGCTGCTGACAGACGTTGTGCTTAAACAGTTGCCCGGTTTAAAAACGGCATACTTTGCATTCAGTCCAGTATACACTATCTCTGACTTCAAGCCCTGATGAAGGAGGTATTCTCTGACCCTTGACATATGCTGGCTTTGTGATAGCCTTTTATCTTATTTTGAAATCAATTTTATATCTGGAAGTTTTGACTTCTAGTGTGGCGCTTCCATCTCAGACTCTCTCATTATCATCATCAGCAATGACAGCTAAAACTAATAGTCCCATGTCAAGTAACAGTTATTAAAGAAAATAACACATACATCATAGCTTAGTGAACTGAGCCTAGTTTAATAACACTACCTAACTTTGGCAAGGGGTCTTAAAGTATATCTGAACCTCAACCTTTTGTTTTCAGTATTGGATAGAGTGGAGTAGGGTTAGAACCTCTATCGGCTTCCCCGCCTCTATCGGCTTCACCCTTCTTTTTGTTCTGGGAAAGAAAGTAATGGGAAATCTACATTTTATTTAACTGCTACTAGAACAGCAATGGAGGGGAAATCTTAAAAATGGGGACATTTGTTGTGATGACAACGGCCTGAGAGGGGAAAAGATTTCCTCTGCAGGGCAGGAAGTGAAGGAAAATCTCCCAGATGGAACATATATGACAAAAAAAAACATGATGTGTTTTGGCTATTCTCTGCTCTATCCGTAACTGATTGGTTTTATTCCTAGTAGAGCTGGGAAATGTCAGGCTATTGTGGATCCACGCATCTCTTTCTATTCATCTCATTCCGAAACATGATTAAGAATATATATAACAGTGATTTCTAACACATACATTCTGAATAACAAATAGAAAGTTCCGCAGTACCCTCACCAGGCTACAAAGGTCAAGTATAGAGCAGCCTCAGCACAGAGAAAACAGCATTTACTGCAATAACCAACCTAAAGACATCACTTTAGAAACACTCCAGAGTCTGAAGGCTGCTCAGTAAATACTGAGTCCCGTAGGTACACAATCTTTAAAGTTTCCTAAGAATCTGTACTCTAATAAATATAGTGGTAATCACCAGATGTTTGACATAGAGAGACCTAGGAAACAGACATTCACAAGAGATTAATGAAGGGATATGTGTGTGTCTCTGTAACTACAAGTGGTTAAATATTACAGAATAAAATAGAGGCTATTCCAACTTGGATGCGTCAATGAGCTCCGCATCAATTATACGTCTGCTCTCAGGCTGGTTCTTCTCAGGGCAGTTTGGTTACAGGCTGCCCTTGGCAAGAAGAGGCTTTCAGTAGAAAGGGCACAGATAGGGTCAGTGGCTTATCAGCTGGATGCTCATATCGGTTTTGGATTTTCAGCCTCTTTCAGGATGTAAAAACTGGAATTTTAAAAAAAAGTTCTGTTGTCAAGCTGAGGCAGGGAATAGCTCAGACAGTGTATCCTGGTGATGTGGCCTCATGAAGCCAGGGGACAGTAACGCTGCACATAAATGTTCCAAGAAGAGCAGCTTCAAACACTCTTTGGTCTCTGGACGCAAGAAGGAATCTCAGGAAGTCCACGTGCAGCCTCTGCCAGCATCAGCACCACTCCGACTGCTCAGTGTGCACCTACTTCTGGCCGCCAGGCATGAAGCTGTTTTCAATGCACAGGACAATGAAGTTCTTATTGCAGCTCTGAGGACGCTGCTCTAGAAGTTTCCCGCTGCTGAGAGATGAAGCCTGGCCAGTGACTATGCCTTCATCTGTGCGCCAGGTCTCGCAGTAGCTCTCCGTTAGACGTCGACCCTTGGCATCAGATCCATGCCAGATCATCTTCTGTGACCTAGTGTACAAGGACAGGAGATAGGATATTTAAAGTAGATGTAAACCACAACTAGAAGGCACAGTGTTTGCTAAACCACTTTGTAACATAAATAACATTTATTAAAATTCTTGTTTCACCTTTTTTCATGCTTTTGTTATATTTCAATGCTGCTGATCCTCTGCAGCCAATTTCTGTTCACATGCTACCTAGTGATGACTGCATGGCATATCTCAGGGTGGGTTTCCTGAAGGTGATAACAGTGGACCATGCATAATGTGCATTGAACTGCCCACTTGTAGTCTCCATCGGAAGCCTTAGTGACGGCACAATTGGGGGACAGAGCGTTGTCACCCTATAACAGGAAGGGCCTGAACAAGGACCTTTATGGCAGAATCACCATGTATTATATTAATGAAAGCTGCAGATTTAAACATTTTGAAAATTTCTTTTCAAATTGAATTAAAGGAGAACTAAGGGGTTAGGGCTTTTCCCCATAGTTCTCCTAAGGGTAACGGGAGGACGCAAACTAGCGTCCTCCCGTCACCCCAAGCTCAGTATACCGCTACTCGCGGTATACTGAGACGCCGCAGCTGAAACGGATCCCGACAATTATGTCTGGATCCACCCAGCTGCGTGAGTGACAGCTGGCTCTGCCTATCTAGAGGCAGAGCCAGCTGTACCCACCCCCTCCCCCATCCGTTCCGCCAATCAGCGCTGGAGGATCGGACAGGGGAGGGGGGAATCCAGTCACTCCCCTGTCACGGCTCTCTGCAGTGACAGGATCGAGAAGTGAGCGAACACCGGTATGTGTTCGCTCACATCGCGATCTACTGAGCCGACCTGTGACAGTCTCATTGTCACAGGTCGGCTAGAACTATGAGGATGAGTAAAAAATCACTCACCTCATTGTTCTCCTTTAACATGTTAAAGCATACATGATATTTTGGTGCTTGAGTCTTATTTTTTAGATTTCTAATGCTTTGGTGAAGACTAACTATGGGTGCTGCTTTTTGATGTATAGAAGTTGTAATTACCTCCATGTTCTGCTGGTCCCCTTTGTGCTGGCCCCACTTTCCTGTTTCAGGGTGGCTCCTTTTCCTTGCAGAAGTCCTATAGAGCCACCCTTTTGTGCACAGTTCTGGGACCTAACTACAGGGTGGCATGATACAGGCAGCTCAAGAGGATGCACAAGACATGCCCTCTGCTCCCCTTCCAGAAGAAGTGACTGGCAAGAGGCTTCCAGGGCTCTGTCTCTTGAGCTGCTGTCAATCACTTATATTGGAAGAGGAGCAGAGGCCATAACTTGTGTGTGTATATAGTCTAGGCTACCTGTGCATGTTGGCACAGGCAGCGTGATTTTAATTTTTTTTCAATTAACCCAAGAGCAAGCATGACCAGGATGCGCACAAATGATGGGGCCTGTAATCTCAAGAGTTGTATTTGCCCACTCGAAAGTTCAGGGAAGAGGCACATAGGAACCTAGAGGATGTGGCATAAACACACAAACAAAGTGAGTGGTTCTGAGTTTTGTGGGACGGAATCCTTTATTCTATTGTGTAAAGGTAATCTATACATATATGTGTTGCTGTAAAAAAGTTGAATCTTTAGTACTACTTTAATGTCTAAGCTAAGAAATAACAGAATATATATGAACAAATGCAAGTTAAAGTTTGTGTTAAATTGCTATGCTACTGAACTACGTAGACACATCCTTTCAATTTGCTCTACATCTATGTCTGATGACACTGGGCTGGCATGTATGAACTGCCGTTGTATTCTTTCATCACTAACCCTGAATCCGATACCCGTCCCTTGTTTATGTCATAACTGGATCTCTACCCATAACTAGACATTGAGAAAGGGGGAAGGAGCTTTGCAGCACTATTCCCTTTGGCAGATTACATACAGGGCTAGTCACAAAAGGGTGAAGAGTTAGGAGAAGGCAGGAGAAGTGAACAATCTAATGCTGGGCACACACCTTACAACCATCGCAAGACTTTGTGTTGGGGAGGGTTGTAAGGTACTTAAAAAAAACGTACGATCTGCCCATCTTGGACAGGCAGATCGTATTTGCGATGATCGCAAGCCGCACCCCCTGAGGGGCGGGCTTCCGATGACCGCAATGCCGAACGGGCAGTGCGCTTGCGCACACCGGCCCGTCCGGCTTTTATCTTACGAACATGCTACACACCCGCCGAACATCGTACGATGCTCGGCGGGTTTTCGAACATGTTCGTAAGTTAAAAGTCGTGCGACCTTACAGTAGTAGAGGTCGCATGGTTTCCACACACATTATGATAATCGTACGATCGCGGGATTTCCCGCAATTATCGTACGATTATCGTAAGGTGTGTGGGCACCCTAGGACAACATAGCTGAAGTGGAGAGTGAGCTGTTAAGTGGAGAGCAGCTATTTTGTCCTAGATTGTTCACTTCTCCTGCCTTCTCCAAACTCTTCACCCTCTGCACATCCATAAATAAAAAAAAAAAGAAAATCCAGGTTGTAGAATCTGATACTTCCATAAATGAAAATCATTGCTATATTGCACTGAAAGGTGATTAATGAATCTCCAACTAATATGGAAATACAACTACATGCATGCCTAACCAACAGGGCCAGATTTAGAGTTAGGCACAATAGGTCTGCACCTATAGGCAGCAGAGACAAACAGGCAGCTTTTTTCCTAGATAGTTCTAGGGCAAACTTTAAAAAAAAAATTATTAGTAGCAATACAGTCTTCCTATGTAAACCTGTTTACACATATTCACAGCATTCTAAGCCAGGCTTGGATCAATACAACTAAACATATTCTGTAAATGAGCTGATCCTATTGGAGGAGTGCTAATGATTGTGTGCCTGCGGGTCACAAATGACATTGTTTAATGTATGCGATCAGATTGTAGTCATGCTAATTCTCTAGGGAAGAATCGGGTGTTTGACTTACCAAGTAGAATCTCTTGCCACATCCCTTCCGTCAAATGAGTAAATGCGAGCTCCAGGACGCATCTGTCCCTCTGAGCCAGAGAAAAGGGCCTCCCAGTTCTCAAACAGGTTTTCATCCTATAATACACAGACACCTCTCACATAACTTTGAAAATGTGTATGTACAAAGATAAATGTTTTATGTAAAGGAAACCGATCATTATCAAGAGCAATATGGAGGTCGCCTGCCATAGCTGATTACTTTATGAAAGTGCTAATTGTTTGGTTGGCATGCTAGAGTTTGGGCCCCAATATTTCCTGAGTGGCTGAACATGAAGAAGTATTCAGCAATTGGAAGCCAGAATACCTAATCTGCTTGTACTGCCCCAGCAAGAATCTTAAAAGCCTGGTGATGATGTCACACAGAGTAATTAAAGGGTCATCTATGCTCAAAACCAAAAAATAAATATGTATTTCTATAATGAATTTCCATTAGTTCTTTCCCACTCCTAATAACCATATCGATCTAGAAGTGTGTAAACTTGCTTATTGAAGATGCCCAAAGGATGTACTTCCTTAATTTCACGGAGCCCTGTTATTATGCGCTTCCTTGTGTCACAATTCACTGAACCTGCCTTCTGAACTACAACTCAACATCTGAATAATGCAACATTATCATTGCTTTCAGGAAGCAATGCATGATGGGATATGTAGCCTCCCAAAAGTGCATCACATCAAGCAGGGAAAGAGATGCAAAGCACACTGGGAATCCACTGAGTGTGAAAGCGATGGACAGAAGGAAGGGGGGGTGGGGGGGGACCCACTACAAAAGGATTTTGTGGTTACCTTGCCTTTGGATGAAAAATGTGTTATGAGAGGTGCAGTTATGCTTTAGCTGCCACTACATACAAAGCATGCATCTCTTTCATCAAATTCTTAGGCTGCAACCAAGTAAAGCCAGACTCACCCTGAGATTAACAATTGGCACAGACAGCCTGTCAGCTTTGCGGACAATACTGTACAGATCCTGAAGACGTGAGGAAAGGAATGCTCGGAATGTGCCATGAAGTCCAGCTTTGCGGGCTTGTTCAAAGCATTGGAAGTCCACGCCACGTATGGAACGCATGCTGCCAGTTAGGGGTGCATTCAGAGCCACAAGGTGTAGCTGCAACAAGAAATGTGGCATGTAAATATGCAAGCCAAGAAAAGGACGGAATAGAATTTGACAGTTTCCGGCTTGTACTTACTGCTGCCTGGTATTCTGCATGTGTGTGTATAGGCACATTACCCTCTGGCTCCACTGGCCTGGGGAAGACTTGAGGTGGTGGCTGTGGAATAGCTTGTGGATTAACTGGAGGTGGTGCTTCATTCCTGGGAGGAACATTGATATCTGTAGACTGATAGGATCCGGAGTCTCTGCTACCAGGATAAATGACCACAGGAGGTTGCTTTGCAGCAATTTCATTACCCTGTAGGGGAAACATTTCACTTACTAACTTTTCACAGACAACTAGAAGAGTGAGGCACTAACATGAAAGGAGTGAGACCTACCTGATTATTACCGGTTACATAGTCTCCAAGCTAGAAAACACAATTTAAACAGAATTATATTAAAATATAAAATAAGTTAAATACATATTATATATTTGCCTGCATTAAAATGAAAATACATATTTTCTTTACTTCTTTTCATTAAAACTTCTTTTACAGGATACCTGGACTCATAAAATTACTGGTATGGTTAAAATAAATTCACATCACATTATAGATGATACAAATAATAGGAAAATGGGAAAGCCCACATCTGTACCTATGCTAAAGGGACAAAATCCTATGGCTGGACACAACTGATGAGCTTAGGGGTGTGTGAAAGCTTTTCTGAAGCTGGCGGAGAGCTCAGATCTGCTTTGCCTGATTCCATGACCTGCGTGGCACTGCACTGGTAAAGCCAAGCACTTCTGAGTTCGCCACAAGTTCTCTTGGTTTGGTTGGGTTCCAGTCTGGTGAACACATACTACTCTGCAGCAATGCAGAATGAGGGGCCTTGTGTATTTTTGGCAGACCCTTTTAAATGGAATGTGAGGGAGTTCCATTTATATTTATTTCTTTGCTTTGTTGTGGTCAGGAATTTTTAAGAAAATGTTTTTTAAGATACGGTAGGTAAATATAATTTTTGTATAAATACACTATATTCTTGTCACGTCCTTAACTGACTGCTTAACTGCAACGTATGGATAGAACTAAATGACTCTAAACAGTGACTGATCCCTTATCAGATGGCACAGTTCAAAGTTTCACTCAGACAGAGCAAGTCAGCAGGCAAGCAGCCAGCCATTGCTGTTCAGTGTCTTTGGCCTACTCAGAGTGCTTCGGAAATCCTTTATCATTTATTATACATGTATTTGTAAAACAAAGATTATGCATATAACATAAAAAATAAATGGACCCAAAACCATTATAGTTCCATTAAGCATCATAAAAGCATAATGCACGGTGTAAATGCCCACTGTGCACATCCAGATTTGTTCTGAAAAGCTGCCCTGTCTATTAGATGACCTTTACACAGTTAGTTGTATCATCTATTGAATGGATCCAAGGAGGACAACCTAAACCTGCCCGCAATAGCTTTTTATGTGTTTTCTTGTGTCTAGCCAGAGTGCTTCCAAAGTCAATGGCTGTTCCAGTTTACAGTTTATTTATCATATCAGGCATTGAGTATTCATATCATATCATTGAGTATTTTTATTAAACTAGATAAAAATGCCAATTACCAATTGGTGTCTATTTCTTCAGAATGTAGATACTAGAGTCTGACATGGATAGGAATCAGTCAATCAAACAATAGAAAATAAACACTTCAACATTTGATTTTAACACAACAATGTTGATACTCACAAGAATCTTTCTGAAGCCATCTCTGACTCGTACATATAACTCTGCTTGTTCCAGCACTAGTACAATGGTTCCTTCTGACAATGACGGCCCCACATTAAGCATTGTCTGATAAGTCTGGAGTACAGTGGCCTAAAAAAACAAGAGAAAAGAAAGGGCATTTAAAACCCAGCGTAGCAGTATTTGTATACAAGACATACCTCAAAAAGTAGACGTCGGGTTTTAGTGTCTTAACAGACCCAAACACATCTGGTCACTTTTGTGGAAGAAATTGTGGCATATATAGATGTGGATTATAGAACTGTGGTCAACCAGTGACAAAGCTCCAAAACGTACAGTTTGTAGCCATGCCAAAGTCATCTTACCAACACAATAGGCTGTAATTGCTGTACCAGAAAAAAGGTTTACAGATCAGCCTTTCAGAGTCATAGGAGGTTCCACATATATAACTTATACCATATTTTAATTGTATTAAGGCCTTTACTGTACACGTACAATTTAATTCAGGGCCTGTGTTGATGGGCTTGGGGTTTGTGTTCATGGGAAAATGCAACTTGATTTCAGATGCATTCCACTTACATTGGTGCTCAGTATTAGTTGATTTGGAAATTCATTGACAGATGCATTTGATCTGCCGTTGGGCACAGGGTATTGGCGACAATGGTAGTTTCAAGTCTGAGACTTAGATCCCAACAGGACACCCATTACACGGATCCCAGGTCAGGGCCTAAAAATTATATTGCAGCAACATATTTTAATAACAATATCTCACACTATTTTAAAGAAATGGAAGTTGACGGTTTGGTTGCCTTCTTAAAAAAGGCAGTGCAACAGTCAGTTATGATGTAAAAAAAGAAAGTTCACACATAGCAACCAGTGAGATATTAGTTTATGCAAACAGAGATGTTTACCTGGTTGTGATAGGTTACTACGCTTTCATAACTGATAAACCATTTCTTTTCGAATGTAAGTCAGAAAACGATTTTAATAGGTCAATGGTGATGCAGCTTTTAGTTCTTACCGTGGAATATCCTCCTGATCCTCCTGGGGTTCCAGGTGGCCCAGGGGGTCCTGGTGGTCCTGGAATGCTTAAAACTGTAATAGATTAAAACAATATTTTATATAACTGCACTCAATCATATCGATGTAAAGTTACAATTTAACCAAATAACCAAAGCTTTACTGCGCTTGTTCAATACTAACCTGGTCTATTGGGTCCAGGTCCAGGGTATGATTGTTGTCCAGGGGAACCTGGAGGTCCTGGTGGCCCAGGTGGTCCTTGTCTTCCTTCATATCCTACACCAGCAGCTCCTGGTGGACCACGTGGGCCGGGAGGACCTTGAATGCTCTCTCCTTTAGCACCCTGTACAGAGAATTGTATAAATATTATTTGTGACCACTAATGAATATATGTACTGTAGGTGTACAGTGAAACAATCTTACATGTGATAATCATAACATACATTATCACAGTTTGTGGTATTGTATCTGGTGAATATGAATAATACTATGTCACCCACATGTTTGAAATCTAAAACTGCAACATTACAAGCTATATTCCAGAGGCATCTACTGTATATTTAGTCCTAGTCTGCCCGTATCTCTACTGTATATTTAGCCCTAGTCTGCCCGTAAATTAGCAAAGATACAAATGCTTATGTAAACCTCCACATTTCATGCTTTCAAAAAATCAGGACCGTCTGCCAATACAGTGGCATTTGGCAAGTATAGGTAGCACATAATAGCCCATGCTGTTCACTTACTGGCAGTCCAGGATATCCGGGGTTACCAGGAGGTCCTTGAGATCCTCGACCATCACCAACTCCAGATTCTCCTTTTTGTCCTTTCTCACCCTTAGTAAAGGAAGCAAAAATGTCTGTATAATTTGCAGGACAACTGCCCTTATCCACACTTTATAAGATATGCCAATATACATATTTACTTGCTATGGGGCTCGTAAAATGACAATTCTGCCTTGCCACCTTAATTTAAAACAGGTTCAACAAAGCAGTGAACTAGTGTTGCCCTCAAACAGCATATCAGGTCAAATAGAAGTGAAAACATAGACAGTCTGACTGTAAGAAACAAACACAAATGACTTAGTAATAGTTACTGTCCATTTAAAAGGGTATCTCATCTTAACATGTCCACCCCTCAGTTTATATTAGATACTAAGCATTTTAAAAAAGCCCACAGCTAATACTCCAAATAAAGACCCTTCATCATTGCTGTGATAATGAACTGTCCTATACTGGTGTCAACTATCACATACTCCAACGATACTCACCCTTCCAAAGGTACTGAAATCATATGGGAATGTTCCTGAAAACATAGATATAATCTTGGTGAGAGAAGTTCAAACTATTCTCCATCACATTTTAAAGACATATTACATTTAAAAAAATGATCATAATGGCTGCTGACTATCCTCTGATTTTGTGTAGCTGATCCTTAGAACCATTAGTCCCATTAGTCTACCCATGCAATATGGATGCTTTACCTTACAGCTGTAACCCTGGATACATTCTTCTGCATACATGTACATAAGGTACAAGCACACTCCACCCACAATGCAATGCTCAAAGTCTGGGCAACCTTATGAACAGTACCAAGCACTAATACTTTGCAGGATGGACAAATCCATCCTGAGGTAATCAATCTTTACCCATGGTAAACAAGGTTGTATAGGCTGAAAACCACTAAAACTGCTAATCTAACAGCTTCCTCCCTCCACACTAAACAATGCAGATGGGGAATCCACCCAGCAGGGTTCCTGTATTCTGACAGCGGCGGGTGTGCTACTGCCAGAATACCCAAACAGTGACTATAGCTGATTGGTCACAGTCACTGTATATCTGAGAATTTTTCACCCGGCACCCTCGATTTTCAGATTGAATGATGTGGGGCCGAGGCTGCTACCAGTGCCACCCATGGAGCGAATTTCGTCCGGTTCATCGAGCAGTGACAATTTTTTTTCAGTCTAATGAAACCTGAAAATTAGTTAAATTATTAAAATAAAGATGCTTATCCTCATGGTAAAGCTTTGTGGATTGAACCTTATGTCTGCTTATAATCTTGAATAAATCATCACCTAAAAAGGAAGATTCAGCTTTCCTTTAAACTGTTTTTCCACTGCTTTTTAACGGCTTGCTATCTCATTACTGCTTACTTATGGTGTCTCCCTATACCTTTGCTTCATTTGACTTTATGTACTCTTTACTGTTTCTCATTTGGCATTGCTGTGCTAGTTTTATTCCTGCTCTGCTGCTTTGCTAATATCAATCTACACTAAGCACTGTTTCTTAAGTCTCCCTTGCACAGCTGGGTCTACTAAAGACATCAGCTTTTTCCTCTCTGCTTAGGAAACCATACACACAGATGCCTCTTGTTCAACCCACGCCAAAGCAATCCATGCTAAACAGCGTGGATGGAGGAATATCAACTGCCAACCATTGTATTCAGACAGCCGCAGCACACACCTGAATACCCAAACAGTGCCTGCATCTGAAAGTATACAGTCACTATTCAGTTGATAATTTTCCACTTGGCTCAGTCATTTTTTTTCTAAATCAACTTTTGTTGAGCCAAGGGTGATGCTGACAGGGCCACCCAAGGCTTCTATTTCAATAGGCTGCCTTATTTTCTTCTGTGTTTTGCTGTTTTTCCACCTTTTTCTACCTCCAACTGCCCAGTGACTTTTCTAACTCACATTCCCACAATCAAAACCACTCCCCTTTTCACATCAGTTGACAAATCCAGACAAAGGGAAAAGACACAGGAATCCATTGCTGTGTATATTTAATACACTGTGCAATGACACCTGCAGAGTAGGAAATATAAACAGTGATAACATAATCCTCACTTGCAGACCACAGCTTGATAATCATCGGTCAACAAACAGAAGTCTCGAAAACGATGGGCTTCTGTTTGAGAAACACCGTTCCCCTCCTGCTAAAGCAGGGGACTGATCTGAATTTTATCTGTGATCCCCTTTCGCTAAGAATGCTTCAGCTCCAATAAGAATTGTATTAGAGATCACTGAAAATTGGTGTGCTGCCTCTATAGGCTGCAAATTAAACACCCAGTCTTTCTCAGCATTGTTAATATTGGTGAAGGTTATTACCTGGTGGTCCAGGAGGGCCAATGTCTCCTTGATCCCCTTTCCCTCCTGGAATTCCTCTCTCGCCTTTCTGACCTATCATAATAACAATATACACAATAAAATAAGGGTTAAGGCTTTATAAAGAAGGATTAAGAGTTCATTTTGTTTGAGAAAAATGCAATAATGTCAGGGACAGTACATGGAAAATGACAAACCTGGATAGCCTTGTGGCCCAATAGAACTTGAGTCACCATAAACCTGGAAAAAGGTGTAATAATAAAATTAATCTGTATGTAGACTAAATATCTAGCAAGTGGTTCTAGGCTAGCCTGTGCCACAGATGTTACAAGCAAATCAATTAATGCATCAATAGTTTTATTAAAACGGCAAAGATAATTAAAGGTGGCTGAGACTTAGCTTAAAACTCCTATCATCATATAAAGCTACAGCCACTATAACAAGGAAATAAGAAGGCATTGAACCACATTACCTTCCTGTATGTCATACTGTATAAAGTCTATAATATGTGTAATGTTGCTAAATATGGTATCACTATGTAACCATATAATATTACAGTTATCTATGAGAACCATCACATTTCAGTGACCAGACTTTAGAGCCCCAGATATTATAAACAACAGGCAAAGCCAGTCAAAAATTGGAATAGGCAATTTACATGTTTCTTGCAAAGTCCCTCTAAGCCTGGTAGCAGGATAACATTAAGAAAACTTACTGTTTGCCCCGGAGGACCAGGTGGGCCGGGAAGACCTGGTGGCCCCTAAATAAAAAAAAAATGACATTGTTGTGAAAACAGGTCAGAATAAGTGAAATAGTCTTCATTAATTGCCTCGTCGTTACACACTTACCCTAATTCCAAAGCCAGTAGGATCAGAAGATTCTCCCTTCTCTCCCTTAAGTCCGTTCACACCAGGGCGACCCTGAAAAACAAAAAGCATGAACAACTTTAATTGTTTTTTTTGTCTCTATTGGACAATGAGCATACAAAACCATATAAATAAGGAGAAAGTGTAGACACTTCTTAAATTAGCACATAGAAAGGGGTCCAAGGCATTCTACTGGCAGATCTGCTTTGTCTGTTGGTCTAATCTGGAGACATGTTCTAGAATAATAACATTTTATAATATCCACTTAGCTGAGTTTATTTTAGGGCTTTCTTTGGTCTGGTATTAGAACCAAGTATGATACCTCAAGCTCATGATTATATTTATGGAGAAAAACTTGTTAGGATTGTTAGCTGAACATTCTAGAGGGGATTGATAAAAGAAGGTAAAAGAGGGGGCCCAAGGTAAAAGGGAAGATGAAAAAATATTTTTGACAGAGGGCAAGACAATAAATATATCAAGCAGAACTAGAAGAACATTGGATGTAGAAAATGAAAACAATAAAGTAGCTAGAGGAATTGAGAGTGGACCAAAGCAATTATGGGTGGAAAAAGAGAACAAACATATGGATAACAGGTGAAAAAGGTGATTGAAAAAAAAAAGACATGAGAGGCCAAGGATTAACAAAAAGGAGTAAGCAGAACAGAAGGTGAAAAAAGACGGAGAGCCATGTGAGTGATAGAAGATAAAAACATAACTTAACCACTTCAAGACCAGGTGTTTAGACCCCCTTCCTGGCCAGGCCATTTTTCAGTGTTCAGCGCTGCGATACTTTGACTGACGTTTATTCCGTCATGCAACGCTGTACTGAATAAGATTTTGATGAAGAGGATATAAAACTTGAGTGAAAGGAAAATATATAGGTATAAGAAAGGAAAATGTAAAACATATTCAGGGCAAGAACTGAAAAACAAAAACAGTACTGAATAAATATTGCATATTATACTCACCGGTCTTCCAGGTAATCCAATTTCTCCTTTCTGTCCAGCAGGTCCCTGGTGACACAAAAATTTATCATAGACATTATGAGCTTTATATTCCTCCTTCTAACACCACATGTTTTCAGTGTTTAGGGTATATGTACTTACCAGTGGTCCCATAGGTCCAACAGGGCCCCTTGGTCCCATGTCACCCTAAAATACAAACATAAAAGTTTATACATCATAGTATGGGCTCATAACTTGTGTTATTACTGTCCAAAAGCTTACAGAACAGACAGACATGCAGACGATTTATTTGGATAAATACTGCAAACTATTATCATGCACGTGAAGCCTTTTAAAATCCATTAAAGAAATCAAGTATATAAATATACTTTAGTGTGTGACTGTGGAAGAGACATTACACTGTAGACTTCACTGGCAGTGCAGTAAATTACTCTTATTTATCTAAAATCTTCTGCAATATATTGTCATTATATTAAACATGCCGAAGTTCCTTTGTCTTTTTTCTGCTGAAGGCCCAGGCTGTAACTATAGCCATAGCAGATCATGTCACTGCTATGGTGCCCAGAAGGCCAGGGGGTCCAGGATCATCTGGATACACAGTGATTTATGCAAACAGCAACTGGCAAGCACACTTTGATAACATGATTGTGTACATATAGGCTAAAAACCTCCAAAACATTGCTAAGCAAGCAATTAGCACTCTGTATCACCAGAGGAACGGTCTTGGAGATAGAGATTAGAGGGACATGGGGGCCCCTTAATGGTTTTGTTATAGGGCCCCATTACAGATAATTACAGCCCTGCTAAAGGCTGTCTTTTCCTACTGTCTTCTTCTATAATGCATAACCTCAAGCGCACACAATTCACCTCCGTCTTACCTTCGCTCCTCCAGTGAGTAGTGTACCATCAGGGCCCAGCATACTTCCCGATTCTCCCTTCTCTCCCTAGAGAAAAAGGATTTGTTTATTTATGTCGCTTTTCCAAGTATTAACATTTATTCAATGACTGGAACATGGTTAAACACAATATTTATTTGTAAACCGGTGGCAGAAACATTGCATGGATTGCACCAACCCCTTATGGATTTGAGAAATGTATCCTGTATACTTACACACATTCCTATACACGTTCTGACACTGGCAGATTGAATGTAGAAAGATGATGAACATAAATCTACATTTCATATCTAAAGCTGGCTGTAATCAGCCAGCCCCACAATCTACATCAATCAAAAAGCATAAACAACCATATATTTAAATAAGGCAATTCACAAACACCCTAGCCTAATCTTTCTCACCTGTTACATATCCCAGGTAATTACCATATGCTGAATGTGGTTACCAGCCTAGAACCATGACAATGTTTAAATCCTCAACTCTGTCATTACCCAGCTTCTACCATAGAGTATTATGGAGCAGTGAAGATGGTCCATTCGTCTCTATGAGAGGCCCATTTGCGGCAAAGTGGCACAGAAAGAAGAAATTGAGGATGTAAACATTGCTGGGGCTTTGGGAGGCTGCAACATTCAGTTCTGGGTAAGCATGTATCTGGAGTGTGTAAGAGTGGGTACGCAGATTAGGAGATTGTGGTATGGTGGGCTAGGGCAGGTTTGAAGCATTCAGTTGTTATGCTGGCATGTCTTTACTTTTCTAAATCAGCACATGTGTGTTCAATTATGTATCAAATAGTAACTTTTTCTTAGTAAAATGCTCACTTTTAGGCCAGGCAGGCCTGTGTAACCCTGTTCTCCTGGCTCTCCTTTGAGGTCTCTAGAACCCTAGAAAAACAAAGAATACAAAATAAGCAGAGACATACACAATGAATACTTATGTGTAAAATATCTATCTGAAACAATGTCTGATAGTCAGATCTATACACTATCTCGGCCATGAAAATGCAGAAAGAGTATTTATAATACAAAATGTAGACACTCAACACCGTTTCTACTGTGTAGCAGAAATGTGATACAGTTTGAATGAAAATCTTTTTGTTATTGACCCATTTACACAAAGTACCAGTGTTCTGAGTACCCAATGGGCTACTTTTGTAGGGTTTAGAGTACATCTGCTTCTTACAGTACATTTATCATAACAATTGGAATGTTAGCTAATATTTCTTCACACATAAAACAGATATATTTGAATGTTTAAGTCATTTAAATATATATTGGACTGTCTGAAACACATTTACATGGCCCTGGTATGCTGTGTGGTGCCTCTAATGCTCTAAAAGTTGGGGCATTGTATATGTAAGCATTAAGTCAATATTTTCTTTATGTTTTCACATTACATATTGCCTACCTCAAAGTATTTGAAATCTACATACACATGAGAAGCTCTAATGGTCAATATTCAAATGGCTCCTCATCTTGCTTTATGTAAATGGAAGAAACCACTTAATAGTATGTACCCCTCCCTATGTAACATGCAAAAAATACATTTTAGACATCCTTACCTCTCTTGTTCCACCAATGATATCCTTAAATGAAAGACAAAATGTGAAATTACTAGAGTATATACATTACATATACATTAGTACCTACAAACACAACTATGGACAGCTAGAGACAGACTCAATACATGCAATATATATAGTACATGGTACATCAAGAAGGAGTTAAATAAATCTGCTTACTCTGCCATCCGATGATCTGTAAATAATTTGCCCAGGAGGTCCAGGTGGTCCAGGAATTCCAATTCCATCACGGCCTGGTTCTCCCTACAACAAGCATTGTAACACATTAATGCAACCCAACCCTTCCAGTGACCTTTCAGTCACCTGATAAAGGGCGAAACTGAATTCTACTGCAATTGCACTATAGGTGACTACTGAGGTTGCTCTCATTTTCATTTTGCTGTAGAAGTCCTCAAGCAGTGGCTCAAAGCTCTCGGGTACCTATATTGTTGTTCTGTGCGCTGCACCTTTCTAAATACTTACTATTTATACATCTCCAATAACCATGGAGATCACAGTCTAGCTTTATAATTAGCAAGAATTATTTAAATTCATTAAAAAGAAAGAAGTTTTTAGTTTCCTATATACACTTAATGCAGTTTATAATTTTTAAATGTGACCCAGGAGTACAGTGCTTAAGGATCTCTTTTCTACAGCTGGAAGATACCAGCATTCTTCAGCTTTGTACATTATATTTGTATTCCCCTAAATTTCTGCACACTAAACAGTGAAGTGGGCCCATACTCAAAGAGTAAACCTTTGCTGTTTTATAGGGAATATCTAAGTTGGGTTAATCGTTACATTGCCTCAACACTGTACAGTATACACTCCAATAGCTGTATAACTCTAGTGTGAGATCACCTATGGCATATGTAACTCGCCCACTCCTGACTCTGATGACCGCTGTTTTCATGGGATTTGTGGTTTCTGCCATTTGGTAATGTCACTATTGTTCTGCTCACTGTAATTCTGAAGGCTTGCTGGAGAGTAAGCTGTACCTGAGGACCTGCAGTGTAAACATCTACTTCATTCACTCTGTGGATCTCTACCACCTATAAATGCCTCCCCCTCCTGTTCTACCACTGTCTGTGAATCCCCCACCTCTCCTGCCCCCCATTGATCCCTCCTCCCGACCATAATTAGTCCATCACTCATCAGATACATTTTTGTCTGTTTGTAATGTCACTACTGTGCTGCTCACTGTTCTTTTGAGGGCTTGCTGGAGAGTAAGCTGTACCTGAGGACATGCAGTGCATACATCTCCCTGCCCTCTACTTCAATCATTCTGTGGATCTCCACCACTCCTATGACCTGTTAATGCCCCCCTCTCCTGTGCTTCTTGTCTGTGGATCCTCCGCCTCTCCTGCCACCTGTGATCCTTCCTCCCCAGCATCATCAGTTCATCACTCATGGGGGGGTCTGCATGAGAAAGCGAAGTCCTTCTCTATTCTCTACCAACATGGCTGCTACAGAATGAGGTATGGTAAATCCTTCCTGGGGAAACCAGCTGTACGGAACCTAGAGACAACCTTGGCAACTAGCATTGAGCAGGACACAGGCCTGCTTTAAGAACTGCTTTAAGTACTTTTATTTTTGTTACATGCCTAGCTAGCCTCAGAAGAAAATGAATCAGCTGATAACTGAGCGTTCTTACCCGTTCTCCTTGATCACCTTTGTCTCCCCTTTGACCCTATAAAGAAATAACACGCTATTTAGATTAAAGTTAATTATAGGTTTAAAGTGGCTAAAATATTAAAATGTGTTTCAAATAAAATTGGGGAAACAAATGTAATTTTGTTGAAATGATACAAATCAAAAGGAAATGTCTTTATCAAACATGAAAGCGAGTCAGAAAATTGATGGAACAGCAGATGTTTGCAATATACATGAAATACAAATATTAAAATAAAAGATGGAAAATTCACTGAAGCATTGTCTATGATGAGCAATTACGGAGAAGCAGTATATATGTTTTATTTTTAGTATCTTTTTATAGCAATGTTACCAAGAGACAAAGTAAAGTCTCTACTGTGCCAGAATCCCTGCAGCTAAAGATATCAGTGAAACGGAAGAATATACAAAGAGATGCTTTTCAGCAATGAAATTCAAGCATTTACCTGAGGGCCTGGGAATCCGTCCAATCCGGGTCTTCCATCCAAACCAGCAATTCCTCGATCACCCTGATATAAGCAAGAGTTAAATCACATTAGGGGGAAGCACCAATAGTTAGGAGGTTACAATGGTCACTTAATAAAGCTTGCACTTGGAGTCCAAATAGATGTAGTCCACCTTTGTTATATGTATTTTTCAGTATCTTCTGTGAAGACAGAGCTCAGGTCTATGTAATGATAGTCTCATGACAGGGAACTGGTATCTGGTTTCCTTTAAGGAAATACAGTAAATTACAGCTTCTATGGTGCCAATTCACAAAGCTTTTTTTTTGCTGATTTCAGCTGTTATTTAATAGATATTGCACGCTATTTAGGTTTGTTCAATTCACCAAATGATTTAACGCTTGGAATCTCCACCAGTCACTGTCTGTGTTTGCAGAAGGGATATTTTATCGTGTAATTTGTTATTTGACATTGCAATCCTTATTTTAACAAGCCTAATCATTAAATATGAACAGAAGTGCAATTCACAAATATTTTTTGGACATTCATGGACCGTTTCCTGGCGGTATTTTCTGCTCTGAGAGGGAGATTTGTGAGGTGAACTTCTGCTAGTGAAGCCTCTTTTTTTGCAGTTTTTGGAAGATGGAACCGTGTTTTATTAGATTTTATTATTATTAAAATATATTATTCTTTTTTAATGTATTTTTTTTTAATATATTATTATTATTATTATTATTAATGTATTATTTTTTGAAGAGGGGTTGTAATTCGTAAACTTTGTAACATGTAAACTTCAATAGTTTTAATAAAGTTGTTTACATACAACAGTGCAGTCAGTTGAAAACATGTCATTTGTAGCCACTGTTCTCCTCCCCTTCTGGTCCCAGAATGCATCAGTCAAACGGATTTTAACACCTTAAATGTTAATTTTATGATTCAAGACATAAAAATAACTCTGGAGGGGTATAAATTACACTTCAGTTGCTAAAATAACATAGAACGCATACAAATAACAACTCCTTGAGCACTTCACTGCACATTGTATGCTTCTTACAGTGTGCATTAGCTACAGCAAGTCAAATAGAGCCTGCCTAATTTGTCGGCTGCAGGACACCCAGCATCATCTAGCACTTTCCTACCCAGCCTGACTGTTCCTTCCCCACCCTTTTTTTTAAAACTGAAATTCAGTTACATAGTTACATAGTATCTGGGGTTGAATAAAGACACAAGTCCAACCGATATAGGTCCGCGCATCATCTCTTTCTTAGGAGTACCTGTACCCCTGTATATTACGGTCTCTCAGGAAATCATCCAAGAGTCTCTTGAACAATTTCACACTCCTGGAGGAAATCACTGCCCATGGCAGTGAGTTCCAGACCCTAACCGCTCTTACCGTGAAGATCCCACTTCACCCTTTGTGCTGGAATTTGTTTTCCACCAATTTTAGGTGGTGTCCTCTAGTTTTTGTAATGGAGTTAAACTTAAAGAGTTTGTTGCCAATGTTGCTGTTGCCATTGAACACCTTGTACTTGGAAATCATATCCCCCCTTAATCTCCTTACTTCCAATGTGAACATATTTAAATTTATTAGCCTTGTCTCATAGCTCTGGTCCTCCATTCCCCTACCCAGCACAGAGCCCTGAGGCACACCGCTTATTACACTTGCCCAGTCTGAGAAGGTGCCATTCTTTCAATCATGAAGGTTCAGCATCATATGTGGGTACTACCTAGTGTGGTCTGCATGCCAATGCAGTCTTCTTAGAAATGCCCACTCCTCCAGACTGACATCAAGGCATTTTGAGATTTGAATAACTTCTCTCTAAAGCCAGACCACTGCTTGCATCAGGGCTGAGGGCTGTTGGAAGGAGTACTGAGGCAGGGTGCGGTAATGTACTCAGGAAGCCATGTACAGCTCTCTGCTGCCTCCTCCTACCAGCCATAATTTGCCTGCATTGCATAGTGATGCACAGTGACCCAGTGATGATGTCACCAAGTCTAAAATAAGGTATGTAATGTAAAATGGAAAGGTTTTATCTAAAAATGTCATTAGCGTGTTGATGAAGGGGGAGGGGTGAACCAGGGAAGACAAAATATATGTAGGTTGAACTTCAGCTTTAACAGTTTACAAAAAACAAAATGTAAATAGTCACTATCTAATAATAATACATTGCCAATAATGATCTACCTTTGGTCCTGGAAGTCCTGGATATCCTGCATCTCCCTGTGGGAAAAAAAAAATAATTAAAATGAGTCGTATATTAGGCATCTACCCAATAGAGGTCATTGCTATGAAGTCCATACCACGCTCACATCACCCTGCCCCGCAGACTCAGCCTTCAATAGTAAACATACTGAACTCTGAACAAGCAGCCGTGCACAGTCAAAATGAACATGAAGGGTCTATATCACTTCCCACACTCTTCACACATTCCTCACATACTGAGTAATGAGAATATCATTCTGACCTTCTCTCCAGGAACTCCAGGCCTTCCCTGATAAAAGAACGTTTTGAGAAGCATATTAGATAATGTGAAGGCTGAAATGCAGCTCATCATAAAATACCTACAATGATCTAAATTTATCGGAATTTTCCAATCTGGAATCAGAAAGTAACTTTATCAGAAAACCTGTGCTGAGAGATATGCAGGGGCTGCCATGGTTGACCGCTCTCCCTCAAAATCCTAGGTACCTGGCTGTCTCTGCTGGCAAGTTTTTATTGCTCTCTGTGTCCCTGTTGGGTAGATTCACTCTTTCTATTTGTCCTGTTGACCGCTGACTTGTCACCAGAACAAGAGGTGAGGGTAAATCTGATGTGGACAGCTAAAGCAATGACAACTGTCTAAGAAGAAAATCCCATCACCTTGCAGTCATTTCCTATCACTTCCTGTTGTGATAGGAAATGACTGATAGGATCACTACCCAGGGCAGGAAGTGAAGCAAAATCTTCTGAACAGGACACAGACAGCAAAAGTAAATTTACACAGGATTTATCTCTTCCCTACTTTATCCAAAACATAAAAATGTTCTGGAAGGCCCCTGGAGCTCTTAAAATCAGGGTGCTCAATATCCAAATCTCATGTCTCCCTACAGCAGACTGCTCTAAGGCATGTGGGAAGGATGTGGCAGAATTCTAACACATTGTGCCTGATGAAGGGACCCAAATTGGCCCCAAAATGTTGCCTTCTCTGTGGCAAGATGGACATGCGTCAATAAATACTTTTTTGGACAATTGACCTTGGTGTGCTGATGACATTCTATTATCATTTTAACTCTATGCTCGCCATCCGCAGTCATTTCCTCACCCACCTACAAGGGGTATATTGGTAAGTTCTAACACTGTTCCTAATTAGAACTCTATCTGGACATTTCTGGTTTTCATATAACTAATTGTAGTATAAACGAGAGTTAATTAAATACCTGTATGCCTCGGCCACCAAAACCAATCCCTGAACCTTCCATGTCATCCTAAACAAAAGATAAGTAACAAGGTTAAGGAAAGAAGGAACTGAGATATGACAAAACTGGTAAAGGTCAGCAGAAATTACAATATAATGCCAATACAAGAGACTTGGTAAAGGGCTGTTGTGCTTTATATATCAGAGCTGCTTTGTTACAGCCACAGCTTGTTATTCAAGCTGATATCATTTTTGTCCAGGCCTCCACAAATGATAATATATTATATACATTTTACATGGTCTGATTTCAAAGCACATTACTTAGCACAACAAGCTGAGCAGAAATGCCACTTCTATCATTGGTTATAGGATGGCGCTGGCACAGATAAGCTTAGTTATCATATAACTACTCCTTTATCCTGGGCTGTTAGATATTCAAATGTCAGGCTATAGACTCTTCCTGGATATTTTCCACCATAGCCAAAGTGATTTTTGGTGTAGAATAGTAAGAGGATATAACAATCCCTCGGGGGGATACTCTGAGAAATCTGAACAGTCTCCAACAGATGCATTGAAAACTAATTTCTATCATTAATTATTTTACTTACATATACACAGCCACCATTAATTATTTTACTTACATATACACAGCCACCAAAAAATAAAAACAGCTTACAAATCCATCAGCAGTTCCACGTCCAGAAGGGCCAGGTGGTCCCGGAGGTCCAGGCACTCCACGGGGTCCAATTGGTCCGGGAAGTCCAGCTAATCCAGTTTCTCCAGGAGTTCCAGGAATGCCAGGTTCCCCAGTACCTCCCTGTAGTTAGGACAGAACATGAACATATATAATACATTATATTCCTTTAAAGTCTAAACTGGGACACTTGTGATGTTATGGTTGTAACTGTAGTCACAAATATATGGCTCATGTGCCACACATAGGGCAACAAATCTAAAAATAATATATGTCTCTAAAACTCTACTCATGTTGGTTTTACAACTGCTTAGGCGGATGACTAAAAATAAAACATGTATTCTTATGATTTAGGCTCTTGCTTAAGGCTGTAGAATATTTTGACTAGTGCCATATTTGACTGGCATCCTAAACGCTTAATATAACTTTAACAATTAAAGTGACAGGTGGTTCTAAGGTTCCTTAATTTCCCCAACACCCATAGAACACTGAGGATTGGTGGTTGGTACAACTAAATGTTGAGAGATCTGGGTCAGCTTTAGTTTACTTAGGTAAGGAGCAGCTATGCAGTTTGTTAGATATCAATGACAGGAAGCAGAACAGAGATTGATATGCATTATTATAATTATTATACAGGATTTATATAGCGCCAACAGTTTGCGCAGCACTTTTGTTTTAGAGCACAGTTATGTACCCAGAAATAATTTCACTAGACACTTCTGTATGTTGTCCAGGGAGCACTGCTCAAAGCCTCCCTACTTGTACCTAAGGTGCAAGTCATATATATGTATATAGTACTTGATCAGATGTTTTGATTCAGTAGCGCAATGCAGATGAGGCACTGTATGTTACAAGATTACAGTCCACAGTGGGGATTGCGCTGTTCTCATAGGCTTTGGCCATTTTTTAAAATTTCTATCTACTTTTACATCTTTCTTGACTGATGCTTTTATCTGTTGTTTTACTGTATACGTAGTTAGTGTTTTACCAATAAATACTTAAACTATGACAAAGGAATCCCAGAGTGATATGGGTTATCTAAAGAGCCAGAATGCCAGTAGTTATCTCCTTTCTGACACATTTGTCTCTGACTGAAGCCTCGGACAGAGCTGTCTGATAAGGGATGAGTCAGTTTAATTCAGCTATTCTATAAAGCAAATCTGTGCTTTGCCTTAGTATACTTTAAAGCTGGACCCAGCAAGCTATGATTATCTTTCTTTTGCTCTCCCACTGCTTTGTACACTGCTAGAAGCCCCGTATGCAGTACCTTGAGCTTACACATGGTTAAGGGCTATCTCCCCATTCACATTGGCTTGTTCTAGATGCCTCAGCAGCCAATCACCAAGCAGCAGAAATGTTAAACAGTAAGGAAGTGAAGTGGGTCACATGCTTAGTCATACTCAAAAATACTAGGTACATTTATTGTCTCCTGGCAGCCAAATGGAGGGGTGGAGGAGACAGAAGGTAACTGTAATCAGCTGGTGGGGGCCACCATTTAAGAGAATCTGTTGCCCTGTATGAACAAAGCAAAGATTCACCACAATCTCTGCAAATGACAGGCTTAAAACTCTACCTGTTGGCTGTCAAAATATGAAATATATATGCAATATTTACTATTCACCTGACTAAATAAAAGAAAACATGTTTTCTATATTTTTTAGTCTTGGTTATAATAAAGAGATACACATGACATTCCTTTTAGAAAATACTGGGTTAAATATTCACGCACACTTCTGCCATGAGGATGGCAAGATGGGGAGGGGAATGTACTCTGTTATAACTTATACACTTTCCAGTAGTGATGAAATTGGGTCCAACCTATAATAGCTGCTTCTGGGGCATTCACAACCCCGCAGCTGCACAAAAAAAAGGGGCGGGATGCTAGTGCGGGCATTATTGCCCTTATATGGCCACATTGACCTAATATGGCCATGTGCCCATATAGCGACAATGATATCACCAGCATCCCACCCCTTTATTTATGTGAAGCTTCAGGGCAGGGAATGCACCAGACGCAACTGATTGGGATGGCGTTGACCACCTTCTGGGAATATTTTATGAGATCTTTTCATCAGAAATTACTTATTTTCCCCATGATTACCACACAATGCATTGTATTTCTGCACACACAATATCAGAAGTCAATTTTGACATAACTGTTTTTCAGTACATGCTGTAAAAACACATAACCACTCCCTGTACATCACACACAAACACGGGCCATTCCTGAAAGGACCACATTACTAACAGCAATATACAGTACTGCACTACATATTATACAGGACAAAGACTGCACTCGTTTTCAAAGCATGCTTTGTTAAACCTGCAGACTTATTCACAAAGTACAAAGAATAATGATAATGTGCAAAAGGAATAAGCAATCAGATATCATCACTTAACCAATCTGACTGCACTGAAGTACAAATTATTTGGGTCATTGCAGTTTGCACATCATATTTGCCCTTTGCAACACGTAATTGTATAAGCCGGTCATGTTCTCACTTAAATTGACACTAAACTCAGCTGTTAAAATGTCTAAAATGCATTCAAGTACCTTAACTACTAACAAAAATGTGTCTTATTTGCACATCACTCAGCTGTAGATCCTCAAATCATCTCTGAATTGGTGCTAACACTGTCCTGCCTTAAGGAGGATGGCTACTTTTTTTCCCCATGGTCCTTGTGTGTGTTGTAACGTAGCCACCGCTCCAAACTCACTCCTGTGATGGACTACAATCTCAATACAAATTAGTAAACTAAACATGAGATTGTAGTCCATCACAGGAGCAAGCATGGAATGGTGGCCACTTTACAACACACACAGGGACCATGGGAAACAAAATTAGCCATCCTCCAGAAGGAAGGACAGTGCCGTCATGAATTCAGAGATGATTTGAGGATCTACAGCCGAGTGATACACAAATAAGATACATTTATGTTAACAGTTAAGGTACTTGAATGGTCTTTTTTAAGACTGAACTCCTGAGTTTAGCATCACTTTAACATGGTAACAATATTGGTCTTTGTGAATGTACACCAGGGTTTTTTTACATGCTTGGTAAGTGCCGAGTTCAGTTTCCTACACTACATGCTGGAACAGGCACACACAGCACCATCTTACAATGCATGCTGGGAGTTTGACACTTGTTACCTGCGAGGCTACATCATAGGAGATACGAGACAGAATCTCCCTCAAATAGGAGGGGATTGGAGGTAAGGTGCTCTGCGAGATATTACAATTATTTCTGAGATTTTGAAAATTTGAAATAAAGAATGTATAAAAAAAATATATATTTCTGAGAACAAGTCTTCAATAAACACGAACAACAGCAGACATGAAAGTTTCACTTACTTTGGTTCCAGGAGCTCCTGGAAGTCCGATATCACCATCAGTACCCTAAACAATGGAAATTGACATCAGTATTCTATGTATTTAATTCCTTCTGTGAGTGTGTAATATTTCCTTATTTTTATGATGCCATCTTTGGTTTGACACTATTACAGTTTTATTAAAGCATCCAAAGTGACATCAATAATTCAGAGCACAGTAAGAGATTTTATTATTAGTTTCCATTAAAAGTTGTTGATGGCAAATTATAATGCGTCATTGGGAAACATGAAGCACAGATACATGTAAAACAGTTGATTTGGATAAGAGGGGAAGGGTTAGAGCCTCTGTCAGTGTTGTATTACTGTGTCCCCATTAGTGAGATTTCCCTGACTTCCTTTCAGGGCAGGAAGTGATAGAAAATCTCTCCAATGGGACACCAACAAAAAATACATTTTTAGTAAAATGGAGCTAGGAGTAGGAAATAGAAATTCTGACAATGTTTTTATTGCGGTCTATCCCATTCCATCCCCATGACAACCACTCCCACCATTTCTTGGCGTCACAGGAACAGGCAGTAAGGGCACACTCTCCCAAGTGGGTTAACAGGCAGAAGGAAACCCAACAGAAATGTTAATCTTTGTATCCATAATTACAAAAAAATTTTTTTTTAAATGGCTGGAGCTAGGCTTTACCCAGGTATCATACACCCAAAGTATGCATGTTTTAAGTAGAATAATGAAGACTACCTACCGGTTTAGCATTTCTCTTACCAGTTAAAAGTCTTAAATAAAAAGAATATGGCACATAAATGTACTAGATAAATAAATATTTTATCAAAATTATATTTCTTACCCTCTCTCCAGAAATTCCAGGGGGGCCCTGGATTCCATCTTTTCCAGAAGGACCCTACAAAAAAAAAGAAGTTTATGCTTGCAGACATAATTACATAACTACAAATTAAAACTACAGCTAAACTAGTAAATTAAATCCATACATATTTAATATATAAAAATGTTTGTAAATTACATTTCAGATTTAAAAAATAGTTATTATTGTTTCTAAAGGTGAACATCAGGCATTGATTTACCCCTAGGAAAATTGAGGACTAACTTATGAAGCTACGATTTACTAAAGTTGTGTAAATAGTAATGAAGGTGCAGAAACTGTAGAAACCAGATTTTAGCTTACCAAATTTGAATTGCTCTGGGTTACTGCACTTTGCTTGTCTCAATAAATCTAACCGAATACAGTAATCAGTAATCAGAATAACAACTAAGGGGTCTATTCACTAAGCTGCCGAGGGCAGCCGAGTGAATGACCGATCTGAAGTGAAGTGAGCCGAACACTGTTCGGCTATTCACTTCAGGCTGGTACGGCTGATATCAGCCGTACATCGGCTGAAATCAGCCCTACATCGGCTTGCTTCGCGTGGCTTTGCATGTTCGGTGGACCCGAAGTGCAGAAGGAGTTCGACTCAGCCGATCCAACATCTGGATCGGCTGAGCCGAACCTCCGGCAGGCTTCTCACTGCTGTTCGGGCTATTCTTAAAGATGCCGAACAGCAGTGAGTAAATAGCCGAATGCCGCTGAGCGGCATTCGGCTCGGCTGTTCTGCTCGGTCAGAAAAAGAGTGAAAGAAGTAAATAGAAAACGATTGTGTGGAGCTAGCAGTGACAGCTAGCTCCGCCCAATAGTTTCCTATTGTCCGGCGGCTCTGCTGCTGTAAAAAAAAACGAAAAAAAAAACTCTCCCAGGCGCTCTGGGAGCCTTCCGCTCCCGGCCGCTCAGGAGAGAAACACCGCTGTGTCTTTTTTTCTTTATTCTGAGACGAGCGATGTCAGAATAGAAAAAAAAAAAGAATTTTCCCATTGAAAAGCATTGGGACATTACTATTGGCTATTTCAATTTGCAATAGCCAATAGTAAACTAGCATTGTACTGCCCTCTGCTGATGGACCTGATGGGGAACTGCAGCTGAGGGTGGGTACAATGCTTGTTTACTATTGGCTATTGCAAATTGAAATAGCCAATAGTAATGTCCCAATGCTTTTCAATGGGAAAATTCTTCTTTTTTTTATTTTTTTTATTCTGACATGGATCGTGTTAGAATAAAGAAAAAAAGACACAGCAGTGTTTCTCTCCTTATTGGCCGGGAGCAGGAGACTACCGGGGCGCCAGAGAGAGTTTGCTGTTTGGAGATCAGTGTCCCTGGTTAGCAAGTAACCAGGGACGCTGTAGGTCGCGGACCGCGTACCTGACTCGTGGGAGCAGCTGCTCCTGGCTGGGCTTTCTCCCTTCCTTTTCAGCAATTCACAGAACTCCAGCCGTAAACGAAGTGATTAGTAGGGTCTGCAGCAGACCTTACTAATCACCACTAGATCACCAGGGATTGTGCCTGCTCGCCTCTTCCATGCAGAAAGACAAGCATGTGAGTTAAGATAATTTAAGAGGGTCTGTTTAGGGGGCGGAGTTAAGGCTAGGGCAGGGTAGGGGGTTAGGTGGGCAACTGGTGGCGAGTAACTCTTAAGGCCAGGCTAGTAGCTCAGGACTTGAAATTTTGACCCCTGCTATAACCTATAGCAAGACATTATGTTTCATATTTTGGTGTTTGGAATATGTTAAATGCAAAGTTTTGTGAGGGGTGAGGCGATGGAATAAAGGATTGTTTGTATACATTTTTGTTAAATTTTTGGAAATGGGAATATGTTTTAAATAAAATTAACTTTAAAAAAAAATAAAAAACTGTCCATAAATATTGTGCTTTAAAAGCCCCATAAAAATATTAGGAAAAGTTAATAACATTGTGTATCAGTTTGGAACAAAGAAGAACATGTCATTTTCTTAAAGTGGCTAAAGTGCACCCGTTACCCATACACAGTGCTAGCACCTAAAGTATAGCATGTGCTAGGCCTGTATGTCAAGGGACGCAGCTTAACAGCTCAGTAAGAACAAGTGATATCACAGTGTTGTCACTAAGTGCCAGAAAACAAATAGCTTTATATTGGTCTAGTCCAAAAAAGTGTGAAGTTTAAGAAATGCCCAGCCATTGCTGACTTATATCTGAATAAAAGCTACGAATGAGCTGCTATACTCTATGACATAGCGGTTGAGGACTGCCCTATCTCAAATTGGTTCAAGCAATGGTCCAATTAAACTACTGTATATTTACATCTTACAAATTTCAAGCCTCATCCTTCATTTTTTTTTTTTAAGGTGGACTGTTCCACCAAAACAGGGTCGTTTGGGTGTTTACCTGATGACCAAACAACAGATAAAAATCTGTCCAGCTGTGCAAACCACAACACAATGAACAAAATAAATCATCATATAACCTTACCGGAGGCCCAGGGGGTCCAGGTATTCCGTCTTGTCCAGCCCGACCAGGTAGACCAGGGGGTCCTGGGACTACAGTATTGTTTCCACCAAAGGTTCCTGGTACCCCTGGTAATCCAGGTACTCCAGGAGGGCCAGGTGAGCCAGGTATACCAGGTGGTCCCTGTACATCAGATATAAAAGATACAAGAAGACAAGTTTAGGGCCATATCAGGGCATGATTTTCGTTGTTTTTAATTTACATAGCATCACATAATTACAGTTTTTCATCTGCATAATTCCAAACTCAGATTCAGACATCTATAGCTTTGTCCAACACACTTAGGGTAAAATATATAGGCCACAAATATAAGAAGGCAGCAGGATTTTGAAAGTCATTCTGTAAAATGAAACAAACCTACATGGTCGCACTGGCTGAGTGTGCATGTTTATGCCTGGGAACATGCCTACAATGTTGGTGTTAACTTGGGGTGACAATATATATGACACACCACAAGCCTTTATAAAGCATATTTATTTGGCTGTATGTTACTCTCTATCTGACTGCCAGATGGTAGCTTCTGAATAAGAGTGAATCTGGGGGACTCCTACAATTCTTATAAAGCTGGCCATACACTGGTAGATTTTTTTCTTTTGGGATGAACAGAATTTTTTTTTTCCAACAGATTCCTCTATTCACGCTAAACAGCATGCATGGAGGAATCTCCCACTGCGGGTATTGTATATTGATAGTAGGCCCTGCTGGTTGTCACAATAACTGAACAGCATCTGCAGCTGACTGAATGCAGGCGCTGTTTGTACTTTAAGTTTCCACCTGGCTCCTTCTATATGTCAAGGACACCCATTGAGTGAATTTTGGCCAGTTCATCAAGAACCAGCCAAAAGTGGCAATGTATAGCCAGCCATGTATATGTTTGTAGCTGGTGACAGCAAAGTGCGTATAAAGCATGTGAATTGTTGTGGTCAGGGCCGGATTTACTCTCCCTGCTGCCCCAAGGCCAGGTTCCTCAACACGCCCCCCTACCTGCCAACCACCCCTCCCCACACCATGGAGAATGGGAGACCTGCAGGCTGCATACAATGTCACCAAGATCATTTGTACAAAACAAGCGGCGGCTTCCCAGCTGTACATTTAGCACTGCTTGCCCAAAACAGGGCTAAATGTAGAAAATCGGGAGATATCAGTTCCACACCCCTGCTGCCCTCTACTCCCTGTTGCCCCAAGGCCGGGCCTTGGTTGGCCTTGTGGGAAATCCGGCCCTGGTTGTGGGGTGTAAAAATATTTTGGTTTTCCGCCTGTGTAAAAGGTGAATGAGAGGCTAAGTAGTGGAACTGTTTAACCTGCACAGGCATATCCAGGGTCATGTACATGAAGACAGAGAACAAAAAAGCCAGACAACTTAAAGTATTAAGATATCGGCAGCTTTCATATTTCTAATAGGAAAAGCATTATTTTAATATGTTACTGCAAACAGCAGTAACATATTAAACAGATTTTTTTTTACCATTGCCTGTTCGTATTTACATGGAAATCAAAAATTATTTGTTGAGATCTGAATATAAACTTACCCTAAAGTTTTCCAAATCTGGGCCATAGCCAGAACCCTCCATATCAATGAATGTCTGAGAGGCAAGAACAGGTTTTATTAATACACATATCAATACTATTAACATATATGACACCTCACATCTATATTTCACAAAAAAAAACAAAAAACATTATTCATAAAGTCCTTTTTTGTATAAGTTTATTATAGTTTAGTTGTGTGGCAACTGAATGATTATTAAAGGAAAACCATTTTTTATTTGGAATATAATTCATATAACAAGAATAAATGCTCAACATGGCATTATGAAATTCAATGTTACTAACATCTGATGATATTACATAACTACCTTTCCCCAGAGCACCTATTTTCCAATTAAAGTGGGACTAAGGATGCACGATAAAGGAAGACCCCGCTCCACTTAACTCTTAATCTAGAAAAGTGCAACAAGTGCACTGGAACTGCCTATATAAATATCTATAAAACAGTAGCAGGCAAGGCTCTGTAATTAAGTTTGCCAAAATATTTGAAGTGAACATGGCTGTTACGGCAGGAATTTTCCACCCCAAAATTATAGCGTTACTTTAAATGAAAGGATAAAAAAATATACCTACAATATTCCATACATGTGTAGATATGGTACCATGTGATTGTTACACGCCTTACCAATTTATCCATTTTGGAAGCTGGGCCAGGTGGGCCTGGGGGTCCAGCTGGGCCTGGAGCTCCTCTACTTCCAACACCAGGATCACCCTGAAAAAAAGAGGAACACATATATTTATTTTTGCTTTTACCTCTTAGGCTTAACTTCAGATCAAATGTAATAGCTAAAGTGCAAAAATAAATCTATGCTAACCTTTCATTGGTTTAAAACAGACAAAAAATGCAAGCTGATTTCTTACCGGTTGCTAAGTTACTCTACTCTTTATGTTTTGGCTGACATCTAAGGCTGGGTTCGAACCTGAGCATTTTTTCTATGAGCGTTTTTAGGTGCGTTTAATCCTTGCGCATTTTTCTGTCCATTGAAACACGCGTTTTATGCGCGTTTTTTAAATCAATAGAAGCCCTGTGTGCCTGTTTGCATGTGAAAACCGCGTGTATAAACGCGCGTTTTTTACACACGAAAATGCGCAAACACCCTTTTATGGGCGTTTCCATTGAAGTCTGGCAGAATCAGCGCTGAAATTTGCCAAAAAGATCATGTACTTTTTCGCGCGTAGGGCGTTTTTCAGCGCGACAAAACGCACTGAGATATGCCCAGGTGGGAACCAGGCCCAATGAATACTCTGACAGCAATGATGGAAATGTAATGTAGAAAGCTATGTCCATCAATATAGAAGTCTATCAGAAGTGTGATTGCTATGGGCCAACTAATCCACCTGCCATTGGTTGGGTGTCCAGTGCATTTGCATACGTTTTTGATGCATTTACATGCGTTATGGACCAAAGGAAATGAGACCAGCAGTATTTTTTTGGTATGGACCGGAACGGACTGCGCTGGTGTGAACAGAGCCAATAAATACCATAGGGATACAATGGGATGCTTTTTTGGTCCGAGAACAAACTGTTCTGGTCCGAAAACAACCTGTTCGGGTCCGGACATGGTGTGAACAAGCCCACAGGGAGTGTTGCAGTAACAGGAAGTTGCCTGAGTGAAGTTGGGTGTCATTTAACTAAGAAGAGCAGAGGTGGATGCGGGAGGTGGCAAAGCAGCAGTGCTGATACATAGAAAAGGTAAGCACTGCTGTGGCACCTTTTTTCAAGCCAT